AATCAATATGGACTCCAGAATAGCAAGTGTTTATCAGTTATTAAACATCAAGGAACAAATTTCACGAATTTGAATTAAGGTCGAAAAGACCTGCTTCAATCCTGCAGATATTTAGACTATGTCCAAATCACCATAATTAGTAGCAACTACATTGTAAACTTTACAAATTATTAAGACTAGTTTCTTTAACAATTACCTTTCGTTATAGGCAGAGAAACTTCGTTGAACACGAACGTTTCGGTGGCGGTTCAGTTTTAGTGTGGGGAGACTTCATTAAGAATGAGGTACTTTAATCTCGCTGTGCTTCCCAGGAGTGAATTTTGTGTTCGATGTATTTTTACACCAAGATGTAACAACTTTTGTGGGTACAATCGGATTAGGCTCTTCAATTTGAGGGAACCAGCGACAGATTGTCAATAAAACTTATCCATTATCCAAATCAGTTAATAAATGGTGAAGCTAAAACCCTAATTTTAGTCTTTTTTTTTCATCGAAGAGTAATTAAAATAAAAAAGCTTACTTTTAAAAATTTTTAATGTAGTTTGTCTGTCCTTGAGTAATTATTATATTATATAATTACAAATCTGGTGCCTTAGATCTGTTATTTGATACGTTTTCACAAGTTGAAACAATGTCATGAATATCACTTCACATTTGCACAACTTAAAACATCTGGTTCTTGAAGCTAACATATTAATTGTATGGAAATTAAAATACTATGGGGAAAAAATGATGATCGGAGGAAGTACAAAAATGAAAACAATGCTCTGAGAACCTAAAAACAAAGATTGAAATCACTTCAAAATATTATAAGTGACAGAAGTTGTTATTGGTTGTTGTGTAGCACGAAGCTACACAACAAACTAACGGCGCTCTATTCACTATGAGAAATCGAGCCCCAGATTTTAGCGTTGTAATTACAGAAACAAATATTAACAAAAAGTATGAAAATGCGAATTAAAGTGAACAGAATGACAAAGGCTTGATCTTTTTGAATTTTGTGCAAAGTTACGTTAGTCGTCCCTGATTTAGCAATGATAGATAAGAAGGAAGGCAGTTATTCAACATTACCCACTGCCAACTCTTTTACCAACAAACTGTAGGATTGACCGTCCATTATAACACTCCCACGGCTGAAATGGCGAGCATGTTCCGTGGCAGGGATTCATACCCGCGACCCGCAGAATGCGAGTCGAGTGTCCTAACCACCAGAGAATGGCAAAGGAAAAAAATTAATCGAAATAGTAAGAGGCTTAAAATAATAATAATATAGTTGTCACATTCAAAATGTCATGTTTTCTTCACAGTGGGATTTGAGCACTCGTTGACAGTCCTGTTATGTAGTTCAAAATATTTTTATTTCTCAAACAAGACATATATTTAAATATTATATTTCGATAAATCTACAGTGCGCGAAAGTTGTTGTTTTTGTACGTGAATCGTTTATTGGCTAGTTTGTTTCAAAATTTTATTGCAAAACTACAAATAGGCTATCTTCATATAGCGTTCCCCAGTTTTGAACCAATAGCCTAGAGCACTGGTTCCAAACATATTTACGCCTTGTAAACCAAGCCCCAGACCTTTGGCCCATACGGGTGTCCCAGAAACATATGATTTGTTAAAGATATACATATAAAAAACAAGTTGACGAGTGATTTATATTAATAAAAAGGTAAATCATGGGTGAGCACTGGCTGCTGAAATATATTGGTAACTTGCCGAGAATGCCCTCCAATTCTGGTGTTTATTTTCTTTTTTTAATCGTTTTTAAGATGTTCTCGCATACCCCACGCTTACCATAGATTAGGTACCACTGGAATAGAGGAAAAGCCATTAATCAACAGCACCCACAACAAACTATAAGTCTACTCTTATCTTACCGAATAGTGGGATTTGACCGTCACTCTTATTGTTTGTTTGTTTTGAATTTTGCACAAAGCTACACGAGGGCTGTCTGCGCTAGCCGTCCCTAATTTAGCAGTGCAAGACTAGAGGGAAGGCAGCTAGTCATCACCACCCACCGCCAACTCCTGGGCTACTCTTTTACCAACGAATAGTGGGATTGATCGTCACATTATAACGCCACCACGGCTGAAAGGGCGAGTATGTTTGGTGTGACGGGGACCGTCATTCTTATAGCGCAACCGCAGCCCCAAGGTGCGAAGCACGCTTTCTCGGCAAGAGACCGCAAACCATTAGACGTTTGAGCACGCTAACCACAATTTCAAGCACGGTTTTATAATTGTGTTCCAAACTAATAGTAATCTGTCCCGTATTAATGTTTCAGTGGTTGTTTTCAAAACAACTTACTTCTCACAAACTTGTTTCTGAAAATGTCTTACAGTGCTGTATGTAGTTCACTTGCTCAGACGTTTGTATCACGTGATGTGACAATTATGCTGTTTATATTACAGATAGATATCGCACGTGCATACGATATAATATTTAAACTGAGCATTGAATTAAAGGCAATATTAAATTTCTCTATCTTGAATGAAGAACCTTTTAAACCTATTTCACTGCTACACTGTGGGACGAATGCACTTGCACCCTATGATGTCTTACACCTATAAACAGTTGATCAACTAAGATGTTGGGTATCAAAGTACGAACACTTATGTGAACGTATTAGTTAGTTTACTTGGAATTCGTCCAAGGATTTTGTTGAATAAAAACAACTAAATATCGACTGTGTCTCCTTCATTAGTACACAAACTGTTGACACAAGGTAAACAAGATTAACCTGTTCTGTGTAAATACCAAACTTCGTGTGACTAACTGGCAGGTACGAAATCCTTTCCTAGTCCACCTTTCAGGTGTCGATGAATATGAAAGAAGTGGTTATCTTCTTTCGGAACGTGCTCGCTTCCCGGTTTGACTCACACTATTCAGGTCTGAATTATAAATAGCTGGAACTGCCGAAAATTGTTAAGTCATATTCCGTTATGTTTGGTTCAAGACTTTTGAACAAAGCTTGCATTCTGTTCACTGACACCCTTATATTTACAAAAGTAATGCGATTTTTGCTGAAACAAAATTATTTTCTCCTTTTCTATAAATTTAACACTTGGTGTGATTGTGAAAGTTTCATACCAGAAAAATGAAACAACCAAAATAGTAACCAAAAGAATGACACACAACCAAAATAGTAACCAAATGAATGACACACAACCAAAATAGTAACCAAAAGAATGAAACACAACCAAAATAGTAACCAAAAGAATGAAACACAACCAAAATAGTAACCAAAAGTATGAAACACAACCAAAATAGTAACCAAAAGAATGACACACAACCAAAATAGTGACCAAATGAATGAAACACAACCAAAATAGTAACCAAAAGAATGACACACAACCAAAATAGTGACCAAATGAATGAAACACAACCAAAATAGTAACCAAAAGAATGACACACAACCAAAATAGTGACCAAATGAATGAAACATAACCAAAATAGTAACCAAAAGCATGAAACACAACCAAAGGAATGACACACAACCAAAATAGTAACCAAAAGAATGAAACACAACCAAAATAGTAACCAAAAGAATGACACACAACCAAAATAGTAACCAAAAGAATGAAACACAACCAAAATAGTAACCAAAAGAATGACACACAACCAAAATAGTAACCAAAAGTATGACACACAACCAAAATATTAACCAAAAGAATGAAACACAACCAAAATAGTAACCAAAAGTATGACACACAACCAAAATATTAACCAAAAGAATGACACCATGTTAGTCAAGATAAAGACAATAAAATAACTAAGGCAGTGACAATCATTTTTTATCATTATAAAACATGAGAAAACTCAAGCTAGAGATAAGCATGTTTTCTAATGATCAAGGTATGAAGCTAAAATCATGAGAAAGAGCAAGCTAGGGATAAGCATGTGCTGTAATTATCAATGTATGTCACCTTTAACATGAGAAAGAGTAACGTAGAGAAAAACATTTGTAATTATGAAGCTTGAAACGGGAGAAAAAGCAAGCCAGAGATAAGCATTTGTTGTGATTAGGAAGATGTGAAGCCAAAAACCACAAGAAAAATTTTTCAAGCTAAAGATAAGCATTTGTAATTATCTTATGAATCTCGAAACAGTAAGGTAAAAATAAGCATTGTTGTGATTATCAAATTATCTAAAGATGAGCATTTGGTATGGTTGTCCATTGAAGAATCTCAGAGCAGGAAAATTAGTACTTAGAAGTTAGTATTCAGTAAGGCTGTAAAACTAAAAAATTCGACACTACAGAAATTTCAAGGTTAGTATGTACTGTGGATAAAATATGTAACATTAGGATGAATTTATATCTGTATTTTGTATTTTTAGTTATATACTGTTCCTTAAACACACACATACACAGGAAGTTGTGCTCCTGTGGTGATCAGCATCTGATTATTGTCATGTGCAAAGAAACGTTAAATACATTTATTCAAAATGCAACTCTTCAAACAGCAACACCAGAAACTCACACACACAGAGTATTGAGAATCCTGTATCTTCATTCTTTACAGATTTCAGAGTCTTTCAATTAATCCAAACTCAATTTGACATTCTGATATAAGGCTAAGCCAAGTATATGCCAAACACCTCAAAAATTCCATCGTGAATACCCAACTACTGTACAGTTCTATATAAAACAATATATCTAAATGTATTAATGTGTATGTATGTACAAATACGAATGTCATAAAAACACTTCACATCTCTGTATGCAAGATGTTTCTGTTATAACTTCCTTGTCTGGAAGAGACACGATACTTTCTAAAGTTCTCTACATCACGTGATTTTTACCTACAGCAAATATACTGTTACCAAGACTTTAAATTTAACTTATAGGTTCACGCAAAACCACAAGTCACAGATGAATCATACCAAGTACACAATCAGAAATAAAAAATACCACATAAAGATTTAGAATTGTATAAGATAACTGATGATTGAAAAATGCCCTGTTTGATTACTGTGCGAAAATTAGTACTACATCAAACTGGTTAAAGAAAACTTTATTTTGTGATCTTATGTATATTACATATCATAAATAACACACATTTCATCCTGAAACATATGCATGTCTTTCCTGTTACACTTCAAGTTTGCTATCTATACTTGACTTGAAGAAAATAATATGGAAAACAACTGATGCTACAAATGCATAAAAATAAAAATTATACCTTCAGGTGAAAAAAAAAACAACAAATAAAATAATTCAATCAAAAAAACTAAGCCTAATTTGCATTGTAACTTTAAAGTAAATAACATGCTATAACCTATTTATAATTCCACTTTAATCTGGAATGTTATTACTATTGTTTGTTTTCAATTTCAGCATTTTCTGAGAGGTCCTAAACAATTTTTTTTAAATGCTACATTATTTTACCTTTAAAGTTTTTTTGTGTGTTTTCAAGGTGGCCACATTTCTTTCCAAAATATCTTTCCCTGTCTTTCCAGGTAAAATTTCAGATTTTCCAGAAATGCACACTTCTGCATACATTACACTAATACTTTACTTTTTTTTATCATAATTTTAACTACATTAGCACCATTTTAGTCTGTAATCTGCTTACAGATGGTAATAACAACTTGAGACTACAGAAAAAGATCTTAAAACACAGGTAGTGGAATTTCATGATAGAAATAAAATGTTGGACTTTGAGTTATATTTGATCTAACCTATAATCAAATACAGTAAGTTAAGTAATTATCACCAGATAAAATAATACAGATGACTGACCAAGTTTGTGGCCACCTTGACTTTGCTCACAATTCACCCTAAATGTAAAAGATTATTCTTAACACACCAGAATTTAAAAAAAAATAGAACAGAACCTGGTTTTGGTATGTCATATACTCATAGTTACTTACTTAAATATTGAAGTATTTTACACCTGATATGTTGCTTACAATAAATCTTATGGAATTTTTAATGTTAGTAGTTTACATCAACCCACCAGGTGGTGTGAGAACATTTAACATATTTACTGTTCTCTGTACTCACCATATCACATGGTTATTGAAATCAATGTAAATCTGATAATAAATTCCATTTGGTATATACTGTTGATACACATATTTACGAAATGAGCCTCTGTTTAAGTTGAACATATGCTGAAAAGATGCAGTTACATGGCATTATCTGAGATACAAGAGTAAGAGTACCTATTTCAATTAGTTAACAAATATTCCTTGAGATAGTTAATAAACAGCTGTTCCAATACAATTTAGTTATATAAAACAATACTTCTACTTTTACACATAAAGTTTCACAATATTTCGATGTAAATTAAAGGTCATTTTTATATTGTATATGTATATATACACATTTATTTTAATTCAAGCTAGACTGACAGATTGGCCTCTTTAGAGGTGTTAGAATTTTATCATCATTTACAATTTGAACTAATTTTTACATTTCACATTAAGTTAAATTCTATGTTACCTTATTCTAATTTTTTCAGAATCACATAGTGTAGTGTAATAATTTCGTAAATTGAAAACAAATTGTGCCTTTCCAAACCTTCACCTGAAAGTGCTTTTTTTTTCAGTCACTCTTTGGTGAATCAATTAAAAAAAATAATTGTAAATATGAAAGTACTTCTTTCTTGTTGGTCAAACAGACTAATTTTCAATCAACTGCAATGGAGTGAAAAAACCTGTTCTCTACTTTCTTTCATCTAAGTTCTCAGCTTTTAACATTTGTTGGATTTCCTCATCCCACTCTGCATCATCTTCAGCATTTGTTCCATCAGTAACCACTTCATACTCACATAGTTCTTGTTGCAACTCTTTTTCCCAGTCTTCATCTGAACAAGAATACATTATTAGAACAGTTAAAATAAATTGCTGGAAACACTCTTCAATTATTAGTTTTTCTCTACTGACCTTAAAATATTTGGAAGCTTTTCTTAGTTAATCAATGCATATCCCACTAAATAATATACGAATTACAAGATGATGCTACTGAAGACATTTTAGTTACTTATCAAACAATTCTATATATTTAAAAAGAAAACAAGCTCAATCTTGGATAAAGAACTAGGTCTTCTTGTTGTTAAAAAACACATCAATTATATATTCAATACCTCCTAATATTATACCCTTTTTAATATACATAAATATTATAATGATTATCATCACAGGAATATGAATCTTACCAACACACTTTATGCTAATAGTTGTTATGAAATAAAGAGAAAGACTGCTACTTAGTGAAACAATAATGATTAAAAAAAAGACAAACAGCTATGATCCAATACTTTCAAATTTTATCTATACACTTCATAGTCTGTAAATTAACAAGGAAATTAATCACTGAAATATAATTGCTACCTACACGAGCTGCTAACCAATTATCTTTTGTTAAATAAATTCATCACTGGGTTTACAGCTGAAAATATTGTTAACAGCAAGGGTGCCTAACTGATGATGCATTCTAATCCTTATAAGTATATACGTAAGAAAATAATATAATTTAATTAGCTATACTAATAGCCAGGTTGATTTGTAGTTTAGCTCTAAGTACATATCTTACTCTGATCAGAAGTTACCTTTATTTTATCATTTTATTTTTTATACAATCTAAAATTGTATGTGGTGGTACTAATTTATTTTTTATTTAAGTGACAAGTTAACCGCTTAGCTCACTTGAGGCCTTAGGTCAGTGATTCTAAGCCTGTGGTACCCGGACCCCTGGGGGTCCGCGAAGATAATACCATCTCATTAAACAAGTAAGTTTTTTAATTCTGCTCTTATTTTAATTGCACACTCAGTTATACATCTTTTATTTGATAGTGAAAAATGGAAAAACAAGTTAATTATTAGTAAGAAAAACAGTTTGTTGGGCAGATGGAATGTTTCAAAAAACATGGGGTCCATGGGAAAAAAAAAATAGGGGGTCCTTGGCAGTGAA